TTAATAAACTTTAACAAATTGTACAAAATTCCAAACTTTCGTGGTGTTTTTATGTGTGATGGAATACCCATTAAAATACGTCGCCAGAACGAACGGGGCGTGAAAAATTTGGATTTTTTAAACGGACCTGGAACTTTCTGGACTTCTTATAAAAGTGTAAAGGTTGTGTTCTTTGACAGTTTTGGAAATTTTTAACCTCCTCGGGAAGTGTTGATATACTTTAAATCCAATGGTCATGTAAACATTCTTTATAATTATAATAGATATCAAACTTTTAATACTTCTAATTGTGGTCATTTGTGTTTGTCATTTTTAATAGAGTAATATTGAAACAAATTATCTTTTATTTAACCCCTATTCTTGAACATTATTTTGAGTACATTCTCACTATCATTTTGTTATTTGTATTTAAACAGTGGTAGCATCAACAATACACATAAGTTACAATTTTACTTTTTCCGGAAATTAGAATTGCGATTAAAACTCGATCCACCAATAATACTTAGTGAAGCCGAATAATACGAATTGGGTTTTATTAATCTAGCCACCTACCATACCATCGCAAATGTTGACGAACAAACAACTTGTTTTATTTTGAAAATAAAACATTTAAGATACCCGTTAAAAACCTTTGAGGTCGCTGATCTAGAAACTTTTCTACACGAGTGCGTTTTCAAAAAAATGTTTAACGCTCCTGATACCTCATTTTTTATAGTTAACACTAAATCTCAATAAGATCATCTTATTGAGATTTAGTGTTAACTATAAAAAATAATCTCATCTTATTAAGATGAGATGTGAGACTGGGACTATTTACTTTAGTAAGGATAACTCGATAGGTAATCTCTTAGGATTAGAGATTGCAATCCGGAAAATAGGATTAGGTAATCCGGCGTATCCGGCATCATTAAACGTCGACCGGATCCGGCATGAGTTTGCCGGATCCAATCACACGCCATTAGTTTAAAACTGACAAATGGATTTTAAACTGACAGTTTGTCATTTGACTCGTTTAAGTAAACAAATATGTGTTTTTGTCGCATTTACGAGTACTAGAATGATTTAAGTAAATTATGGACTTTAAATTAAATTGAGTAACGAATCCTTGCTAACGATGCATATTTCTGATTTTGTTTATAATATAACTTTTTTATTACACTGTTAAACAATAGTATATTATGTATAAAGTTTTATAAAGTTACGAGTTTAATTAAGCACGAGCGAAGCTTGCGAGCGAAGCTTGCGAGCGAGTGTTTAAAAAAACGGGTTTTTAGAGAAATTTATAAACGAGTTACATACTATACTTTATCTACGCCAGTGAGACAAGAACTTCTTATCCCACTCATGTTGAGTGAGATGTTCATTAACGCACGCGTTTTTCTTATCTCACTGATTTCAACCATTTAAATAAAACTGCTAAAGTATGGCAATAATACCTTCTCATTTGCCAAACTGCGAATCTCTGTTTCTATACACCATTCTTCATATTTGGCATAGGTCATATCGTATTTTGACTCCGGCAACAGACCGGAAATAGCTTTTAAAGCTTGTTCTTCAATATCAGATGGCAAACTTTCCGAATCACACATTTTTATTACTAGAAAATTATTTTTGACTTATTGTTTATGACAATATTATCGTTGCTAATAGACAAAAATTATAATTACTGTTTATTTTTTCATTTAGAGGCGTAGCTAAAAATTTGTACAATATACGTGTGATAACGCTTTATTAACGTACTTCTGCGATTTCCCAACTCGTGCTACGTACACGTTGGGAAAATTTCCCATGCGTAAGTTAATAAAGCTCTTATCCCAATTATATCGTAAATAACTATTATCTACGACGAATACAAAACAGAATTTAAAGCAAATTTAATTTGTTAAATGTTTGACATATGTTATCTGTCACCCTGGTTTAACATCACTTTTTCCCAATTTATAATAAAGCTAACTTCAGCCCCTGACTAAAAATCCCAAAAACCACTGTTGCTAACTTCATCCCGTGACTGAGCCTCCATAAAGTCACAGCTCGTCAATAAAGGAGTAGATAATAGTATATTATGTATCAAGTTATATAAACGCTATTTTAGTTACGAGTTTTATTAGGCACGAGCACAGTAGTTGTTGTCGCCCAGATTTTTGATGCGCGATAGATTCCGAGTTTCGGAATAGTTAGTGCAATGTTGTAAAAGGCACTAAAATGGTAGAAATTATGTCTAACATGATAAAAGCGGTTTTGCTAATGTTTAGGTCATGTTTTATAGTTTGTGAATGTAATTTTTCTGATCAGGCCGACACTTAGCTGTCGCTATGGCATGCATGGCGAATCCATGTGGTCCCAGTTAGCGCAACTGGCCACCGGGACACTCCCTTTGGTTCTCAAAATTCGTTTTGAGGAACTTTTTTTGCCTCAAGGTATGTCAGTGCGACATACCGTAGGACTTTTCGATTGAAGGTTTCACCTTAGGGTTTCGGCATTGTTGGGGCTGGCCCATTTCAGATATGGGAGACCGGTTGCCCGTGGAATTTTTTTGTTTTAGTTTATATAACTAACTATTTTGGTGGGAGCTATAACCCACTAGGGTCGGTCAGGATCCTTTCCTCTTCAAGGATAAATTTGCTTTCCCTGTAGTTTAACCTGCTCTGATGTTTATTTGCTTATTTATCGTTCCTCTTCATAATTGTCATCATTTAAAATTTATACATTTCGTTCATGTTGTATCTGCGTAGTAGTTGTAGGATTATAGGTAGCTTTTCGATCACAGGTCTGGACATCGTCGGTTGTGGATGTGTGTGATGCCGGGCGAGGTTCCTTTAGGAACGAGTTTTTTATCATGGGTTAGTTGTTGTGAAGTAATTTTGGTAAGTTTTTATAATTAGGGTATGCCAACGGCGCGACCAATAACAGCTGGTTGCGAAGGGTATTCTGATCCTGAACGAACACGTTCAATTACGCGTTATTTTTACCTTTACTTATTTTTATTATATAATGATATGTTTTTATTTTCATGTGTAGTGCAATAAAACACTGTCAACTTAATGTGTTTTATAAAATATTATTTACGATATTAAGATACTATAAACAAAATGTTACCAAGAGGAAATGCGACGTAAGCAAGTTTCTTGGTGTTTTCAAAAGACCACACAAGGAACCGAGAACTGCATAATATTTTTTCTTATATTTAAAAAGGGCTAACTACTTAGTTTTCTCTGTAAGAGTGGCAGTCTGCTCTTGTTATTTTTAATCAGTTATTCATAAGCATTTAACCGAGTATCATCTCTGTATTAAAATAAATACATTTCATTTTATTAAGTTGTTTTTATTGAACAACGTTCCTGTTGCACCAAAATCCAGTCAACCAATTTTGCATACGGAGAATGTTTTCATGGATTAGTTTTAAAGGAAACGTACTTAAGCTCAGTACATAAAAATTGGTCCTTCGAACCGGATATAAACCAGTTACCTGTGAACTACAAGACGCAACATCATTTTAGTTCCACAAAATTAGTGTAACCGCACTAATTACACTGCGCACGAAAATGACAAGTTTTTTTTTCAACAGAGGGGAGACATATGTGATAAAGTCAATTTGGGCACGCTAAATCCAGTGGTGATAGCCGTTTTTCGAAGTTAGCGAAAATAAGCGATTTTTTTCGATCGGCGGTTTTCAAAATGGATTATTTTTAAGGTCACTTTTTAGATGTTTTGATTTCATTCAAAATGTGTTTTTGGGGGTTTTTGGGTATGATAAAACCGAATATGATAATATTTTTGCTATAAAATTATGATTTAAGGCAGTTCCCATAAAAAAAATTGTAAAAATTGACCAAAATTGGCATTTTTTAAACTTTTACTGAATTTATCTCACAGAATGGTTTTTTTTTACACAAAACATAAACAAAAACCAAATTTAATGTTGAACAAAATTTCTTTATTGAGATGTTTTTTAATCATCCTGTTCTTCTTGCAAATTCCAGCATATATCTCCCAAAAGTGCATCGAGTTTCTTCCCACTGTACCAATGTTCTAATCTGGCTGTCATTTGATGAAACCTCTCGCCGTGCTCGTCCGATTCAGCCGGTGACTGTTCCGCAAATTTGTCAATATGACAATGAAGGAAGTGAATCTTCAAAGACATATTCACATTCATATTGTGAAATGCGTCGAGCATGTTTTGGACATGAACTTGCCAATTTTATGCCCGATGAACACCAAGAACGTTTTTAATCACGGCTTTTATAGTGTCCCACGCTACAAGCTCGACATCACTTAGCGCAGCTTCAAATTGTTCGTCTCGCATTAATCGGCGGATATCTGGACCGTTTAGAATCCCTGTAATACATAAAAAATCATGATAGAAATTTATTACAATTAAATTGGTATTATATATACACACCTTCTTTTATTTTCATTCCGCTCAAACGTGGAAAAATACGCCGTAATTCGTTGAATGCATTGCCCTCACGATCCAGTTTTTTTATAAAAATTTTCACGATACCCAATTTGATGTGCAATGGCGGCAACAAAATTCTCTCGGCCTGTACAAGTGGCACCTCAACAACGTTATGTCTGCGCAATCTTACTTCTTCGCGTGTAATCCAATCGCGTTTTTCATACTGATCACCACGGTAGCGCGTATCCCATAAGCACATAAAACACATGTTTTTCGTGTAGCCCAATTGCAGACCAGAGAGAATAAAAACAACCTTTAAATCTGCGCAAATCTTCCATTTGTTTTCATTATACTTCAATAAATCGAGAATCTTGTTCAATGACAAATAGTTTTCCTTTGTGTCTGTGCTAGTGGCACGGATTTTTTTGAATTTGTAATGTGGAGAAAACGGCTTTTAAGCTACTTTTGGATGAATCAATGAAGAGTCTCCAATCTTCCTGGTTGTATCCGTTGTGCAAGGTGGAAACCAAACCACGAATATCATCGCAATAAGCCAGTGAATTATTTTCGATAGCTTTAAAAAAACGTGTAAAATTGCGATGACGGCCGATGGATCCATAAACGCGAGCATCTGGTGCTAAAAGATTTAACGTTTTTAACTCTTTAGCCAAGAGAATTGTCTGTCGCTGCGATAACTTCAGTCGCCGTGCAATAATGTCAAGACGATCCTGCGTGATTTCGGTATGATCGCAATCAGGAGTGACATTTGTTAGCACATAGTCGAAATTACTTCCTCCTTCAACTGTTTCGGATATTGTGGATATAGATACAGCTGTTGGACTCGGTCTTTTCGGTACAGGAACATTTTCCGAGTGCGGCAATGGCAACTCAACAAATTTTGTTGCTATATATTTCATAGAACGTGTCTTTTTTCTGTTTGTTCCGGGTTTGAAATTAACGCACACATAACATTCATCCGGATTGTGAACTTGCGGATTTGTCCAGATTACAGGAATACCAAATGGCATAGAGTCGATCTTACCCTTTCTCCATTGACTCAAATTTCCCATGCACCCAGTACAAATAGTAGACGGAGCCCATTTTATATCACAAATAATATTTTGATCGAAGTATAGCTGGTATATTTCAATAATTTCCGCATTAATTTTACGACGATTTGCCATAATAGTGTATTTTCCACAAATATAACAAAAGCAATTAAAACTTGTAACACTAGAATCCATTTTAAATGAAATTTTAATTCACTTCTAATAACCAGCTTATTTACGATTGTAATAATAAATAAATAAATAATACGTTTATTTAGCTAAATGTATTAAAACAGTCAATATTTACAATAAAAACTTTATGTTTTATTGTTTTTTTCTCTGACCCTGCAGTGTTAATAAAAAAATCATTGATATTTCTTTTGTTGTGATTATGAATTGGTAGTGTCAGATAAATTCAGTGAAATTTTAAAAAATGCCAATTTTGGTCAAATCGCGATCGCATCGCAAAAATAATGTCATATTCGGTTTTCTCGTTCCCAAAAACCCCTAAAAACACATTTTGAATGAAATCGAAACATCTAAAAAGTGACCTATAAAAATGGTACATTTTGAAAAACGCCGATCGAAAAAAATCGCTTATTTTCGCTAACTTCGAAAAACGGCTTTCACCACTGGATTCAGCGTACTCGAATTGACTTTACCACATATGTCTCCCCTCTGTTGATTTTTGCGACTAGCACAGTGTTATCAACAACACAAGGCGTCTTGATTCCCCGCTGTCAAGTTACAAGGAGCGACGAGCGAATTATTTACAAGCCCAGATGACACATCAACAACACATCATATCTTCAAACTGGAAGTGCAACATAGTTAAGTGTAAAGTGTGTGTTGATGTCCGTGAAGTGCAGTGATCGGTTTTAAGAAAAACCGGCTACTTTGTCAATGCGTTTTTATTGTTGCTGATAAGCAATATTTATAATAATAACAGTTACCCATTAAATTAACGATACGAAATTCTTATATTGCAATCAAAAGCAAATCTATACACACGAAACAAATTCGATTTTCTATACGACGATTTACGATACGATATACAAAAAGTGGTACCACTAAAAAGCTACGTGAATGATACGTATAATATAATATCAATATATTATATTACTTGTGCACAAGAACAATTTACAATACGATATTCGATTATTCACGATGCGATATTCGATTAATTACGATACGATATTCGATTCGATATTCCATAATTAAACGAAATACATGCGAATACAAGCTAGCTTGATACGACAAATACGATTTTTTAATGAGAAAACTGTAATTAACACAATAATTACTACAAAAAGGCTTCTTTCTTAATTTGGAGAGAGCTTATCTATCAAGGCAATTATTTGTTTTTAACAGCTGAAATAGGTATGGCGTCGCCTTAGACCACCGCTATCGGTCCGACCCTGGAAAATTTGAGGCCCAAAAACGCCTCGAATTTTAGGGGGCCCCTTCGAATTTTAGGGTGCCCAGATTTTTGGGGTCCATGTCACCCCCTCAGTCCTTCGACGTCTCACCTTGAAAATCGCCGGCGTCAAATAATAGATACCCGATGGCCACATATTTAACAATAGATGTTTGATACGTTGCGTAACATTGCATCATTTTTATTGAATTGCTGCATATCGCTTATCTATTAGATCTCCAATACTACCAACTGTTTTGGGTGCGTTTAAACCGCAATTTTAACATAATTATTTAAAACAATAAACATTAAAAATATTAGCTACTACTTAAAATAACAACGCAGTAATCAAATGCCACAAGATCGCCAAAGGTCAAATTGCGGTATCAACAACTTTTACAACAAATCTGTCATAATACCAAAATATTTAGTAATAAATATTTTAAAAACAAATGCGTTTTTATTGCAATTAAAATTAAAAGCTGAAAAAATCAAGGTCAAATTGTGGTATTATCACACTGAACCTAAGACAATATTGTGTTATCAGAAAAATAAATATACCAAATCTTGCAATAAAAAACAAATTAATTTTCAATTTATAATGGTTTCTTATAATGTGTGAAATATAATTTACTTTTAATTGTATTTTTATCGCTTTTGCGGTTGGCGAAAACATTGAAAGACGAACACTTTTTACACAGTGAGATAGGAACACCCGGGGCGCATTTTTCCGTCTCCTATAGGGCTAGCGCAACCGAGTGCGCTAATCGTGTAGGATACGGAAGCGAGACCTGCATCTCCGTTCCCTATGTGGTTAACGCACCGCATACGAATAAGCACTCTGCAATGAGCTTTCTAGGTGATCTTTCTTTGTATGTACATATAAAATAATAATAATAATAACCAAACAAACAGATTGTATGCACGTTATAGCGCAATAATACACTAGAGGCTAAATGTAGTAAAGTATTCCTCAAGGTTATGACGAATAGCTGTCATCTTGGTTATGCAGGTACACTGCATTGTGCCATACCAAACCAACCCAAACTTAACAACCCAACCCAACCCAACCCAACCGACCCCGCCCCATTGGGCCCCTCCCGCCCCATTGAGCAATAGAGGGATAATATATCTAAGGGTAGGCTGGATTGTGACAATGGGGCGGGAGGGGCCCAATGGAGCGTGGTCGGTTGGGTTGGGTTGTAAGGTTTGGGTTAGTTTGGTATGGCACAATGCAGTGTACATGCATAACCAAAATGACAGCTATTCGTCATAACCTTGAGGAATACTTTGCTACATTTAGCCTCTAGTGATAATACCTAATTACAGGCGGTGCGTTAACCACTTAGGGAACGGAGATACAGGTCTCGCTTCCGTATCCTATACGATTAGCGCACTCAGTTGCGCTAGCCCTATAGGAGACGGAAAAATGCACCCGGGGCCTTTTTGAATTTTTGAAAGGACGGACGGAAGCCTGAACGTTATCACAGGTATAAAAAGTAGCGATAACGCCAGCAGGTTATCACGCTATTACTTATTAAAAGATCTATCTCGCACTCAATGGCACCATTGCAGAACCAAAGGCTCCTCGAAGCAGGGGCAGTTTATATAGACAGCAAATTTACAGGAAGGCTGAAAGTAATAGCGGGCTACTTTCCTCCAGGACACATCTTTCCAATACAAGAATTTACCACAATAATGGCCGAAAATATCCCAACGCTGCTGATAGGAGACTTCAACGCCAAGCACGATGAATGGAACAGCAAAACTATCAACACAAATGGCCGTAAACTCTACGCACTCGCAGAGGAAAGATCGTAGGACGTATACGGGCCAGAGGAGCCTACCTATGCTAGGACGGGAAACTACCAACCGGATGTGCTGGATATTACCGTCACAAAAAATTACGTACACGATATAAATTTGAGGACACAAATAGGAACAACATCAGACCACAATCCTGTTATCATTGACATAGGGCCATTCAGACCGTCAAATTACACCTATACAGCTAAAGTTATAAACTGGAAATGCTTCATACAGACCTTAGCTCAAGAGAACACCCCAATATTGGAAACACGGAGCTCCGCTGAAATTTATCAGCAGGCCCAGAATATAACAATCCATAAAATCGGCCCTAGAGAAGGCCACTGAGACAAAACAGGTAAAAACAAACTGCCCATATAACATCCCTGATGTGCTAAAGAACAAAATAGGCGAGAATCGCAGGGCAAAAAGGAGAGCCCAACGCACCTTGGACCCAGCAGACCGCAGAGAATTTAACAGGCTTGCCTACGAGGTCAAAAAGGCATTACAGGAGCATAGAAACGAGAAATGGCAAGATAAACTCGAAAGCATGGACACAGGAGACCGAAATGTCTGGAAGACGATTAGGGCACTTAAAGAAACAGAGCCCAAGCAGGTGCTCCCTATTCGATGCGAGACGGGTCTACTGTTCTCAGATCAAGAGAAAGCAGAGCATTTTGCGTATAGCCTAGAGGATTAATTCAGCCCAAACCCAAAGCTCTCCACAATACTACGGCGAAAACAACAGTAAAACTAGGCAGGTGGCTGAGTTCCTCCAAACTGCAACTCAAAATCAGGCAAATCATAAACAACCTTAGGCCAAAAGTATCCCCAGGAGAGGACAACATCACAAACAAGGCCCTAAAACACCTTCCATGCAACATGATTGGAAAACTATGCAGAATCTTTAACAACGTGCTTGCAAGAAAACACTTCCCTAGAAAATGGAAAACCGCAAGAGTAATCATGCTACCCAAGGGCCAAAAAAACAGACAAACTACAGAAGGATACCGCCCCATATCACTCCTATCCTCTCTAGCGAAACTATTGGAGAAAATAATCAAAGAACACCTAAATGAAGAAATTACCGAAAAAGACATGCTACCGGAAGAACAATTTGGTTTTAGAGCCCAACTCTCTACGGAACTGCAGATTGTCAGGATAGCGGAGCACGTAAGTCATGGGTTTGACCATAAAGAAAAAACTGGAATAGTGCTGCTGGACGTGAGTAAAGCCTTTGACAAGGTGTGGCACACCGGACTCCTGCTTAAGATGATCCGGCTGGGAATGTCAGCACCTCTGGTGAAGCTTACGGCGTCGTACCTTACGGGTAGGAACTACCAAGTGAAGTTCCAGGATGCCATCTCAACGTACAGAAGCATAAAGGCTCGAATTCCTAGAGTGGAGTTGGCACTGTACGCCGATGACACAGCCTTATATATAAGAAGCCGCAGCAAGATCCTGGCTAGAAATAAACTCCAAGAGGCCCTAACCAGTCTAGAGGGCTGGGCAAGGGAATGGAGGATTAAGATCAATCCGCAAAAAACACAGGCGCTAATCTTCCAAAAAGGACAAAAAACTCCAAATGCGCTCAGCTATGAAGGAGAGGTAATTGAATGGAAAAGAACAGCAAAATATCTGGGCGTAACCCTGGACGCTAAACTCACTTGGGAAACACACCTGAAAGAAACCGGAAAAAAAGGTGAGAGCCATGGCGGCCGCCCTAAGACCACTATATGCCCCAGGGTCCAGACTCAGTCTAAAGAACAAAAAGTTGCTCTGGACAGCGATCCTAAGACCGGTGGCGACGTACGCCTGTGCTGCCTGGGGTACCGCAGCTCATAGCCACCTCAAGAAACATGAGGACCTCCAAAGCAAAACACTAAGGGCAATTACAGCAGCCCCCTGGTTT